CGAGAATCGTCAGTCCACTCCCCTTCCCTACCTCTGATTCTATTATATTCACTAGTTAATATTGTTCATCAGATTTTTTAATCCCCTTGGTTTTTAGATTCACTTGTTGATAGTTACATATTTGTTGTTCATAATTTTTACCTTTATCTTCTTCCTCTTCCTAAATAACCCCCTTCAGCAATTCATATAATTCTGGTTTGGAGGTGATGAACTCTTTTAGCTTTTTTTTTATTAGTGAATCTCTTTATCTGTCCTTTGATTCTGAGTGATAGCTTTGCTGGGTAGATTATCTTTGGCTGTAGGTTCTTGCTATTCATCACCTTGAATATTCCTTGCCATTTCCGTCTAGCCTGCATGGTTAGATTTTTCTGTTGAGAAATCAGCTGATAATCTTATGGGTGCTAGCTTTATAGGTCACTACCTGCTTTTCTCTTGCTGCTTCTAATATTCTCTCTTTGTCTTTTGCTCTTGGAATTTTAATTATGATGTGTCTTGGTGTGGTCCTCCTTGGATTCCTTTTGTTTAGGGTTCTGCGAGCTTCCTGGACTTGTAAGTCTATTTCTTTCCCCAGGTGGGGGAAGTTTTCTGTCACTATTTCTTCCAGTATTCTTTCGGTATCTTGCTCTCTCTCTTCTTCTGGAATCCCCATAATTCTAATGTTGGTTCGCTTGAAATTGTCCCAGAGGTTTCTTACACTATCTTCAACTTTCTGGATTCTTTTATCTTCTCACTTCTGCAAAGGAGTGTCCTCTGGCTCTTTGTGTTCTAAATCTTTGTCTTGATTCTTACGATCTTCCAGTCTGTTTTTAGGACTTTGTATAATATTTTTTATTTCAGACAATGTTTTCTTCATTTCTAGTTGATCCCTTATTATTTCTAGTTGCTCCCTTTTCATATCCTCATAGGTCTCATTTATTTTATCGGCCTTTTTAAAGATATTGTTGAATAACCTTATAACTGTAGTTTTGAACTCAATGTCCAATCTCTTCTTTTCCTCCATCTCCTTCCTTTGTGTCCTTCCTCTTGTCTGCATTTTAGCTGTTTCCCTGATTTGATGGAATAGCTTTGTGTGCTAGGTGTTCTGATAGAGCCCAGTAGCACAGCTTTCCCAGTTACCTGCGGTGTAACTTTCCCAGTTACCTTGGTGTAGCCCTTTGTGGGCTGTGTGTGCAGTCTTGTTGTTAAGCCTTGCTTATTGTTGGTATCACTGGGATGTGTTGATCTCCAAGCCAATTGGCTGTGAGAATCAGCAGTGTCTCAGCTAGGAGGACTTCTGTACTCCACTTGGATAGGGCAGGGTCTCGGGGTGGTGCAGACAATCTTTGGTTCCCTGTCAGTCTCGCCTTAGAAAAGTCCTGTTCTTGGAGAGTTTCAGAAGATTGGTTGCAGGCACGTGCACCTCTTTGGTAAAGGCGCAGACAAGCTTTGGATTCCGGCCAGTCCCTCCTTAGAGAAAGCCAGCCTCTGAGAGAGCTTCTGTGCTCAGCCACAGATAGGGCGGAGTCTCTGGTTGGTGCAGACAAACTTGTCTTCCCTTCGGCTCCTCCCCAAGTCCCGCAGTAATGGCCTCTGGCTTCACACACCTCGGAGAGATCTCTGCCCGCTGCCTGACAGTCTGGCCTCTCCCTGTCTGGGGCCGTCTATCAGAGCAATAGGCTGATTCTATATTCTTCTCCAACAAGAAAGCCAGCCATGCGTTAGCTGTCCGCCCTCTCCGCACCGGGAGTAAGCCAGCAGCAATCTCGGTCTGGCCCTTCCTCTCCCTGCGCCGGGAGTAAGCCAGTGCCTTTTCGTGCACACAGTTCTCCGTACCTTCAGAGTTCCTGAGGTTCATGGTGCCTTCTCTCTCCTCCCCAGACAGCAGAGCCCCAAGTGATATATTGATGGCAACCTCATGAGATCCTGAACTAGAATAACCCAGTTAATCCATTTATGAATTCCAGATCCAGAGAAATTGTATGAAATAATAAATGTTTATTGCTATTTTTAAACCACTAAGTGTTTAGTAATTTGTTAAGAAGCAATAACTAATTCAAATTATTTCTTCTTATAGAAAAAAAGAAATACACAGAAGTATGCCACTGGATCAGGCATCTTAATTAACAACATAATATTGTGACTATATTATAGTAAAAAAATAACTTAACAGGCTTTTTTTTTTTTTTTTTTTTTTTTTTTTAAAGGTATATCCCAGTTTGGGTGACTCAGTGATTGAATCAACCCATGAGCCAGGAGGTCATGGTTTGATTCCCAGTCAGGGCACATGCCCAGGTTTCGGGCTTGATTTCAGTAGAGGGCATGCAGAAGATAGCCAATAGACGATTCTCACATCATTGATGTTTCTATTTCTCTCTCCCTCTCTCTGAAATCAATAAAAACATTTTTTTTAAGAAAGAAGGTATAATTTACATAGGTGAAATGTACATATGTTAAGTGTATATCTCGGAGTTTTGACAAGTTTAAAAAAATACACTTATACCATGTAATACCCTGATCAAAAAGTAAAAAAATTTCCATTACAGCATTCCAGTCCCTCAAGGCTACTTTAAATAAGTTTTTCTATTATCCTTTCTCCCAACCACTGTTTTTATATCTACCACCATGGATGAGTTTTGATTTTTCTAGAACATCACATATATAGAAGAATATAATCTATTGTGTCTGGCTTCTTTTGCTCAGCATAATAATTTTAAGGTTCATCATGTTGTTGCATATATCAGTACTGTTGATTTATATACCCTTCTTTGCTTACCCCACTCTCCCACTAATGGACATTTGAGTTCTTCCTAGTTTCGGGCTACTATGAATAATGTTTCTGGAACTATTCTTGTGCAAATATTTTGGTAGTCATGTATTTTTCCTTTCTCTTTGTTAAGTACCAAGGCAAGGCAGAGAATAGACTGAGGCAAATGAGGTAGCTAGGGCCCAGAATTTGAGCAGATCCTTCACCTAGGAGTAGGATTGCTGGACCATAAAATAGATGTTTATATAACAATTTAGCCTTTTAAATTACAGCACTAAAATTTTACACTTAGATTTTACACAGATTCTTCTGTCAAGAAATCTACATTTAAAGGACAATAATAGGTTACTATGTATCCTATATAATAAAAGCCTAATATGTTAAGTGTCTGGTCATCTGGTCAGCCGTTCAATCAATCAAAGCGTAATATGCTAATGATATGATAAGGTCACTCAACCACTTGCTATGATGTGCACTGACCACCAAGAGGCAGGCAGTTGACTGGCTGACCAGTCACTATGACATGAACTGACCACCAGTGGGCAAGAGTCGACCAGTCGACTGGTCGCTATGACGTGCCCTGACCACCAGGGGACAGATGCTCCAACTGGTAGGTTAGCTTGCTGCTGGGGTCTGGCAGATTGGGACTGAACGAGATGGGCCAGACACATCCTAGAGCCCTCCTGAAGTCCCTCTCTTGCTGGCCAACCTCCCATGTTCCTCAATACGGGACCCCTCGGGGGATGTCAGAGAGCCAGTTTCAGCCCAATCCTATAGGCCAGGCCGAGGGACCCCATTGGTGCATGAAACATGCACCAGGCCTCTAGTACTGGTATAAGAAAACATAAAAATATGTACTTGTAAAGGCAATTGGTCAATATTATATTACCAAATGTAATGCATATTAAATAAAATATAAAGTTGAGAATAACATCCTTTAGAATGATTCCTATATCAAGTGAAACTCCTTGTTTTACAGATAAAATGATTAAAATAATTGTCCAAGGCTGACTAGCTAGCTAGAGATTTCCTCATTATATATAACGGATTATACATTTTTATTCTAATTTAACTCAGCCTGAATTAAAATAAAGTGTTGTGTGTGTTGTTTTTCAATAAAGATGTGGCTACAATTGGTTTTCAATTTTAATGTCAAATGTCTTTCACAGCATTTGTTGCCTATAAAGTATAAATTTAAACTGGTGATCACAGAGTAACATATTCTTAAAAAATTTGTGTCATGCAAGAATTATAATTATAAAATACATATACTAAGTAAGAGTAAGTTATTTCTAAATATATTAAAAAACAACTTTTAATTCCTATGGTCAGATTAGACTTTCTAAAGAAGCAAATAAGGTAATAATATACTTGATATCTGCATGTTTCATGCCGGAGACTGCTTAAAACCAAATCATTTAAAAGAGCACTAAAAGTACTTTTATTCAATTTATTTGTTTTACTTCTAGTAAATTACTACCATTTAGTAAGATACATATTTTTCTCCCTTGAAAAATATCTATTTTCATCTAGAATAGAGCAGCAATTAAAAAGTATTTAGCAAAAGTATTTAAACTAAAATAAGTATAATCCTATAAAGACTCCTGGAAAGCACTTTTCATTGGTTGGTATAGCTTTCTTTATGCATTAAAGAAATGTTTTTGATAATTTTAAGATATTTTCAGAAAAATCCGCGAAGAAGCTCATTTAATAGAATATTTATAATATAACTTAGACCATATGCTCTTCTTGCCAAGAATGCCTGAAACTGAAAATAAATATACTGAGTCTTGAAATAATTGAACTTAAACTGTTGCATTAAATTTCACCCAAATCATGATATTATTTTTCTATACTCTTCAACAGGGTCTTTAAATAATACAATACATTGTGTCCCTAAAAATACTAGTATCCTATATAAGTTACCAAGTATCCCTTTCAGGAAAATACTCTTAATCTCAGCTGCAGAATTGCTTCGTGCTAAAAAGATTTCAAATTGTCACATATATTCTCCATAGGAATTTTTTTGCCAAGTGCTTCAGAGAATGCCTGCTTCACAAAAGTTGAACACTGGATAATGTCAACAATAAATTTCTATGAGGTCTATGAATTAAATTTCCCAAAATGAAAATCTGCACCTGGGTTTTATCATTAAACAAGTAACAGAAGGAACTAAAACACTGCCGCTGCTAGTTAAAATGGCTTTTTGTTTGCCAACTTCTGCTTTTCATTTAATGTTCCTGATATTACATAGTACCTCACAGGTTTCCTTTCTTGGAGGAAGTCTTCTAGGCTCTGTTCACAGTGTTCAGCCACTACCACCAGTCTCTCTGAATAAAACAAAACAAATCCATTTTATATGTTATGATTACAACATTTTAATAACAAAATAATACATCTCACTAGTGATATTAACATACGATACAAATGATATTTTAAGAGTTTTTCAAACTCTATATTAATTACATAATATATATAACCAAATATATAGGATAACAGGATCAATGTGTAATAAAACAATACATTAAGTAATATTTTTTCATATTGTGTTTTTCTCCCATGGAAAATGCATCAGGAAAAATAGACAGAAAGGCTTACCTTTGGAAAAAAGTGATCCTTCCCCTGACATAGACTAGGAAAAGAAAAAGGTTGGATGAAGATATATTTTTGAAGGGAAGGGAAAATTGGGAGCTAGGAACAGATTATTTCCATAGCCTGAGTCCAACAAAAGGTCTGTGAAATTGAGTTCAGAAACTTGACAAAAGTAGAAATATTCTGAATCATGACTATGGAGAAAGAACAGAAAATTGATATGGGATTGTTTGTAATATCCTGGGGCCTTCTAAGATTATGTAATAAAAATTTTGTCAGGCACAATCAATATTATGATGTAATTTTATTTTCTAAAACAGACCTATAAATGAGATAGCACAGTTCTGAGAGTTATACTTTTTCCTTCATCAGTAACCTTAGTGACTAACACATTGTCTGATATAGTAGCAAATGTATATATATTTGTAAATGAATTAATATAAGAAAAATATAAGAAAATTTGTAAATGAATTAATATAAGAAAAATACAACTGGGTTTACAAGTGGATGGGGTTTTAATAAGGTTATTTCAGAAGAGATTAAGGGTATAAAAGAAATTGCAATACTGTGAACATCCATACAAAATGGATTCAAGATTAGATAAGAAAGAAGATTATCACAAAATATAGATAGCAAAGATAAAAAAGTGAAGGTGTACCCTAGCAGCAGATGGAGTGTCGGCCTGTGAACCTAAGTTTCCTGGTTTTGATTCAGGTCAAGAGCAAGTACTTTGGATGCAGGCTCCTGCCTGACCTGGGTCCAGGTAAAGGCACTTGCAGGAGGAAACCAATAGATGTGTTTCTCTGTCTTTCCCTCTCTCTCCCACTCTTTCTAAAAATCAATGGAAAAGTATCCTCAGGTGAGGATTAAAAAAAAAAAAAAGTGAAGGTACAATGAGACTATTAGGAATAGTGAAAATTGAGATAGAAGATAGGAAAGGAGAATTTCAGAGTAGGAAAACCAGTAAAAGGAACTAACTGGGTAATAATTAGTTCAAGGTCTGGTCTCACATGGGGGAAGAGAAATGGGAAAAGGTTATACACAGGCGGTCAAGTAAAGTGTGAGGGCAGGATATGGAATGGTCACATTTTGGAAGTTGAAACTCTCAGAGATGATAGCAAAATACAGAATGGATTGAAACACTAAGATTAAAAATTCTCTAAATAACAGCTATCACTTTTAGATGAAAGACTCCATGTGACAAAACAGGAACTTAAAGAGAATTAAATTTGAAAGACCACTAAAGAAGAAAAAAGAGCCAGGACCGGTTTGGCTCAATGGATAGAGCGTCGGCTTGGGGACTGAAGGGTCCCGGGTTCAATTCCGGTCAAGGGCATGTACCTTGGTTGCTGGCATATCCCCAGTAGGGGGTGTGCAAGAGGCAGCTGATCAATGACTCTCTCTCATCGATGTTTCTAACTATCTCTCTCCCTTCCTCTCTGTATAAAATCAATAAAATATATTTTTTTTAAAAAAGAAGAAAAAAGAGAATTGTAAAGAAAAATCTTCAATTCAATTAATAAAAGAACATACAAAGTTGAACTCCAAGTAATTTAGCACAACTATGAAAGAAAAAGGAAATAATGCTAACAGAAAAACAAAATCGAAAGCTGCATTCCTTTGTTTTCCATCCAACCACGCTTCATAAGTTTTCCTTACAGCTGTCTGGCTATCTCTCTGAAGTTTACTCTGTAAACTGGCATCTCTCTCACCACAATTTTAAATGTTTCTAGTTCCCCCACCTAATTCTGGGTCTTCATATTGTATTTTCTCCTTATTATTACCAAGGCTGAACACCTCTCAGTTTTCATCTCAAGTCCAGAACTCTCTGTTGAACTCCAGGCTTATACAGACAATTTCTCACTTTAATATAAAAGTCATCTCAAACTCAACAGAACTGAAAATGAGCATAAAGTTTGCTCCATAAGCCTGTTTCCTTTAGCACTATTTCAGTAAATAGTGCCACTACATTGGCAGCTTCTATAGTTAGAAATTTTGGAGCAATCTCCCTTTCTCAAATCCAAACAATATGTTCTGGTATTTCTCTCTCTCAACTGTTTGCAGAATCTGAACAGTTTGTTCCACCTGCTGGGTCCAAGCCAGCATCAGCTCTTATTAGATTAACACAACTGTCTCTTAATTGAACTTCTCACACTCTTAGTCCCTTCCAATATATTTTCATATTAAAGTCTAAGTATAAAATATTAATAAATCTAAATGAATAACTTCCTCTCTAGCTTTATTTTTTGTTATTTTATCTCTTGCTCACCAACTTCCAAGTACACTGGCCTTCCTCCCTTCTTCATGTCTTAAGGTATTAGCACATAGATTCCCATTGCTTAAAATTATATTCCCCATTCCCTTCTCCCAAATTCTATCATTAAACATAGTGGTTAAGAGCACAGATTATTCTGTCCGGGTTCAATTTTAGGATTAATACTCATTAGTTCTGTGACCTTGAGGAAGTTTGCTAACCTCTCTATGCTGCAGTTTCCTTTTCTGAAAAATGAGGAAGCTATAGCACCAACCTCTCAGAGTTATGCTGAGGTTAAAATTAGTTAATATATAATAAGATCCTAGAATAGTGCCTGGCATATAGTAATCACTAAGTGTTAACTAGTGTTATTATCCATTCCTCAATTAAATGTGACTTCTTCAAGAAATATTGTTTTATTCCCCCAAAATAAATTTGCTCCATCTGTAATATAATCTACTAGAGGTCCAGTGCATGAAAATTCATGCACTAGAGGAGGTGTCCCTCAGCCTGGCCTGCCCCCTCTCATAGTCTGGGAGCCCTAAGGGGCGGGAAGCAACCAGGTGATCAGGGGTAAGTAACACCCCCATCACACTTCTGCTGCTGCCACCGCTGGCAGTGCAAACCTTGGCCAGTCCTGGTTACCTGAGCCTTGAACAGCTCTGGGTGGTTGGGCAGCCACCATCCAAGGCTTGCCTGCGCCTTGGGCCAGCCCTATGCATCTGGGCAGCTCCCATTCGAGGCTAGCCTATGCCTTGGGCCGGCCCTGAGCAGCTGAGGGTGGATCTGGCTGCACCTCACACTTGCGACCCAATCCAGTAGGACTAAAAGGACTGGGGGACTCCAGCGGGGCTAAGGGGACTGGGCACTGCCATCTTGTGGCTATGGGCTTTGCCATATTTGTGATGGCGTGACAGTCAATTTGCATATTCCCTCTTTATTAGATAAGATTCTACATTATACTATTCTTTTGTAGCACTTATCTCAACTATAAAAAAAAAACTACATTTATTTTTATTTAATGTATTTGTTACCCACTACATAATGAGGGCAGGAACAATGCTGGTCTTGTTCAAATACATCACCAGTTTCTAGAATGGTACTTCAAAAATATAAGCATCTAACATAAAAATACTGTTAAAGAAGTTTACTTTTTAAATAAATGATCAAAGGCATGATAAGGCCATTAGAAATGAATAAGAGTCTCTTATGATGACAATCATTACCTAAACAGAAATCTGTCCTGTGAGGAAAAGTATATGTTTATGTTGTACACTAGGCATTATAACACCTCAGTAGCACTGATTTTAATATAAAACAAAAACATTATAATTTATTAAAGTGTACACACTCCATTAACTAATAATTTTAATTTGGATATCCATACATATTCATATTCATGAGATTTCCAAAGTGTTTGTCATCAAGCCTCTTCTGGAAATTTCTTCAAATTATCATAAAACAGAGTTTGCCAAAACTTTAGGATCCTATTGAGTTTTGAAGCATTATTTTAATGCAGCAGATCTATGATCATGGTAGAATATCAAAGTTTCTCCCAGAGGTAATGAAGTGTATACCAAAACACTATTTACAATACAAGCCAGGTTTTTCAAGAAATCATTAGAGTTTTCATCCTGAAACTCTGGATCGCTGTTTGAAAATAACTTCTGTTTGTTATAAAACAATATAGTTTCACATAATAAAATCTGACAAAAATATTTAGAAATCATGTGCCAAATATAAGTCGGCAATATAGAGGCAGTATTTATAAAAAAACAAATGTAACACTAAGATGAACATATAAGAACTGTGAAATAATCTTTCTTCTAACAAATATCTGATGAATGCCAAGTATCACTATGTTGTACATACAGACTGAATTTTATGTTTGAAATCAATGATAAGAAATTGAAGAGAGCACAACATTAAGCAAAAGAAAAATAATAAAAGAGTTGAATAAGTAGAAGACTAAAAGAAAAATAATTTTTTAACAAAAAGGAAATTTGTAAATGTGCTCAGGTAATCTGAAAGGTTATTAGAATATAGTTACTGCATCATTCTTTTGTTATTCACAGTAAAAATTGAGACTAGCTCATTACATTTTAAATATAATATTTAAATAACTATATATATGGTGCAACTGATGAAAATAAGTCAGTACTGAAGAAACAGTATTGTTACTAGGTCACTTGGATGGTCAGTTTTCTGAGTCAAGATAGCTAGGCTGCAGCCTCTAGTTATTCAAATTTAGGTGTTACCATGAAGGCATTTTATATGTGATCAAAATCTATAATAAGTTTACTTTAAGTAAGAAAGATTATCCTAGATAATCTGGGTGAGCCTGATTCAATCAGTAGTAAAGGCCCCAAGAAGAGAGAAGAAGCTTCTCTAAGGAAGAAATTTCACCCACGGACTGCAGCTCAGGTCTCACCCAAGTGTTCAGACTTACCCGCCTCTAAAATCATATGTGCCAATTCCTACCAATCAATGTATTCATATATATCCTGTTGGTTCTGTTTCTCTGAACTGATATAGACATTTCGGTTGAAATTGTATGCAGCTAGAAATACAGAATAAATTATGTTATTGGTCCTTAACAATTTTATTATTCTCTACCTGAATTTCAAATCTATTTCACTAGCAATGACCAAAATATTTCCAGACAACAAATTCCAAATAAACTGGTATGCATTACAATTTATAATCTTCACTCAGCTTCTAAACACTGAAGAGATTTCAACCTCAAAAGAAAAACATTAAATTTGTTAAAGCATTTCATGCTATATTTGCCTTTTATATTTTAAAGATATTTTCCTCAACTTTACTTTTATAAACAAAGACCTCAAATTTTAATAAAATGTTCACTATTCTTGAGATGAAATACTTAATCCTGTTGATTTAGCAAGAAACTAACATCATCTTGAGTCTGTTTTGAATGATCTACTGTATAGAAAACAGTGAAACCCTGATTTCTGAGCTAATCCAACATGTGAAAACATAATGTTACTAAAACAGACCATATGTCACATGTAACTCTAAATACAAAGGGGAAGGTAGGGAATGATGGAATGACAATGACAAGACGTAAGATATCTGCATAGCAAGAACAGAATAAAGGGGAAAAAGAAACCAAAAAAAAAAATTCTTTGATAAGGCAATCTAGTGGCGTCCAACCAAAATCATGTGTTGCTAAATTACTAAAAATTTTATTTGTTTGGTAAGAAAACTGTGTAGCCCTGGATAGTTTGGCAAGTTATTAGAGCATTGGCCTGTGGACTGAAGGGTTCTGCCCTGGGTTTGATTCCTGTCAAGGGCCCGTATGTATCTCAATTGCAGGCTTGATTCTTGTCCTGGTATGTGGGGGGTCTATGGGGTGGCAACCAATCAATGTACCTCTCTCACATCTATGTTTCTCTCTTTCTCTCCCCCTTTCTTCCATTCCTTTTAGAAAAATCAATGGGGGAAAAATGCTTGGGTGAAGATTAATAAAAAAAGAAGATGGCTGAGTAGAAACTTTCAAATTTTTCAAATTAAATGTAACTGAAATGTCTGGGATACTTATGAACAAACAAACCCTTACATAAATACATACTCAATTCAGTTATTTAGTCCTTATACATACAATTTTTTAGGACAATGAGCACTGCCAACATAAACAAAATAGTCAAATTTTCTGATCTTTTTATAATCACTGATATTTTCATTCTAAACAGCAAAACTTAAACTTTATAAATTTTATACATATCCCTGACTTATGTTACCCTAGAAGAGAGGGGTGCTGATATTGAGGAGAAGAGCAAGCAGGGGGAGCAGAGTAACTAGCAAGATGGTGCGTAGGCCTAAAGGGACTGCCCAGATTTATGAGTTGGTTTCAGCCCTAACAGAGATTACTGTTTAGGGGATCCATTCCTACCTGATACTGATAACTAAAAAGAAGGTTCCTGTGCAAAGTCATCAATAGTGATCCCCAGAGAAATACTATCTAATAAAAGAGTAATATGCAAATTGACCATCACTCCAACACACAAGATGGCTGCCCTCATGTGGTCCAAGATGGCCACCCCCATGTGGACACAAGATGGCTGGCAAGAGAGGGCAATTGTGGGCAATCAGGACAACAGGGAGGACAATTGGGAAGAACCAGGCCTGCAAGGGAGGGCAGTTGGGAGCGACCAGGCCTGCAGAGGAGGGCAGTTGGGTGTGACCAGGCTTACAGAGGAGGGCAGTTGGGGGTGACCAGGCCTACAGAGGAGGGCAGTTGGGGGTGACCAGGCAGGGAAGGGAGAGCAGTTAGGGGTGACCATGCTAGCAGGGGAGGGCAGTTGGGAGGGACAAGGCCTGCAGGGGAGGGCAGTTGGGGGCAACCAGGCCAGCAGGGGAGGGTAGTTAAGGGCGACCAGGTTGGCAAGAAAGGGAAGTTAGGAGTGCCCAGACCAGCAGGGGAGGCGACCAGGCCTGTAGGGGAGAACAGTTAGGGGCAATTGGGCCAGCAAAAGAATCGTTAGGGGGTGACCAAGCTGATAGGCGAAAGTGGTTAGGGGTAATCAGGCAGGCAGGGAAGCAGTTGGGAGTCAGTACTCCTGGACTGTGAGAGGAATGACTGACTGCCCATTTGGGATTGGGCCTAAATGGGCAATCAGACATCCCTTTACAGTAAGGTGACCAGACTTTCCAAAAATTCGGACTTTTTTAAAACGCCACGGGACGTGGGACAAATTGCTAAAAATCAGGACTGTCCCACCAAAAGCGGGATGTCTGGTCACCTTACTCTACAAGTCCCAGAATGGGCAGTCAGACATCCCTCTACAGGTCCCAGATTGGACAGGATGCAGGGTGGCCTGAGACTGAGACACACACACACACACACACACACACACACACCTGTGCACGAATTTCGTGCACCGGTCCTATAGTTATATAATAAGATTTTTCCTGATTCAGCATTTACAGGGGCACATTTAGGTAAAGGAAGGAAAAGAAGGAGCTCAAGAAATACCTAGAATTATTGAGTCATTATCCCTAGAAAGTAAAGCCTAGATAGAAGGTAAGATCCCTGTTACATGAACTAAAGTTCCAAACAGACTTCCAGACATAGTGAAAAGGAATAAAGGGCACTTGAGGATACAAGAATGAAAAAGTTCTAAGGACTGAGCAAAGTGGCAAAAGTTTTAGAAGACAGGTAAAGACAGGCATATTCAAATTTGCAGATGTAAAATTAAAAAAGATTGATTATGGTCACTAGTTACAGATGATAATGAGTATATACTACTAGTATATTGTCAAACTTTCCTAGAGTGGTTTTAGAACTTGGCCAACCTAACAATTGAAAACTTTAGAATTTGTAATTTGTAATTGGATGGTGTGTATGGGGGTTTTGGGGGGAGGGGGTGGGTGTTTGAGGCATTCAGGAATTGACAATATCAATTTTTTAATCATATAAAAAGTTTCAAATGATATCTATCATTTTGTTGTTTATCCAAGGCTATTTTTCACATTGATTTTTAAAGAGACTAGAAGGGAGAGGAAGAGACAGAGCTTAAAAAATATTGAAGTGAGACACATCCATTGGTTCCCTCCCACACGCACCCCAACTGGGGCTGGGGAACAAGACTGCAATCTAATTATATGTCCTTGACCGGAATTGAACCTAAGACTCTTCAGTCCATGGGCCAATGCAACAACCACGATGGCCGTGGCCAGGTAACTTAGTTGGTTTGAACATCATCCTGATAAGCCAAGGTTATGGGTTTGATTCCTTGTGATGGCACATACAAGAATCAACCAATGAATGCATAAATAAGAGGAAAGAGAAATAGAAGTTTCTCTCTTCGTGTGTCTCTATATCTCCCCTTCTATCCCTCTCTAAAATAAATCATTAAAAAGAAAATATTGCCACCATAAGCATATTTACGTGTTCTGTAGATTGAGCATTTGTGTTCCCCTAAAATCCATAGGTTGATATCTAACCCAACGAATGATGTTTGGGGGTGGAGCCTTTGGGAGGTGAGTAGGTCATGAGTGCAGAGCCTTCATGAATTGGATTAATGCTTTTGTGAGAGGCTTGAGAGAACTCCATTGTCTCTCCTACCATGTGATGTTATAGTGACAAGATGGCTATTAGTGAAGAACTGCGCCTCACTAGACATGGGATCTGCTGGGGCCTTGGTCTTGGACTTTCTAGACTCCAGTACTAAATAAATGTTTGTTTTTTATAAGCTACTCAGTTTATGGTGTTTTGTTACAGAAGCCTGAATTGATTAATACATGAGATATGGAAGCACCCCATTATACTATAAAAAGAAAATAAATATCTTCTTGGTAAAACATTAATTTTTAACCAATAGGGTTAAACATTTCTATGTCAGTTCTCTAGATGGAATCCTATATGAAAAAGGCATATGGGAGGGGGGCGGTAAGAGGAGGCTGGGGAAAGGTCAAGGGGGGGTGGGGAAAGGAGACATATGTACTACTATTTGTAATGCTTCAAACAATAAAAAATAAATAAGTAAAAACAAAAAGCTATTGCAATTCAAAAAAAAAAAAGAAAAAGCAACTCATTTTCATACAAAGGGAGTCCAAATTATCTTCAATCATAAAATACATTCCAATAAAGTATAAAGTTTCTAACCTTAGAACATTCATTTCCTTCTTACAGAGGTGAATAAATATGCTTAAGGATAGGTGAATTCCCTGAAAAATAAAATTAAAAATCCTGGTTCTCAGATCTGTGATATATAAATCATTCAAATGTAGTCAGGAAACCTCAAATGACTAGAGCTTTGACTGACAGGAGTTTGGGCTGGAGTGAAGGGCAAAGGCACCCATGAATACATGTACTGTATATTTATAACCTAACCAAGGTAACAGAGCAAAGAACACAGAATGGATAAAAAATATCAACTCACCATGTTTTCCTCTAGAAATATCCACATATTGGCACAGTCTTGGATGGGTGATGGTCTTAAGGATCTGAAAGCGTCCTAAAATTTTGATGGAATTTGGTGTGAGAGGAAGCCCGTTGCTTCCACAAACATCATGTGGTAGAGCGGAGGCAAAGAAGGTAAAGGCACCCATTTCAACATCCTTCAAGGGAAACATCTCCGAGTCCTAGATCTTCCAAGATAATCTGGAAAAGGAAAGAATTTTTTGATAGATCAACAAACATTAAACTAGTGTTTTCTCACCTTAAACATGATTAACAATCTATATATGTATAAAAGCATAATATGCAAATTGATCAGATGGCAGAACCAGTTGGCTATGACGTACACTGACCACCAGGGGGCAGACGCTCAACACAAGAGCTGCCCTCAGCCTGAAGGCCTTGATCATCTTCGAGGCCTGTCAGTCAACAGTGAACTGGAAACTGGGTGGAGGCTGAAGCAGGCAACAGAGCAGGCTGGTAGCAGCCAAGGAAAATCAGCCCTGATCAAAGGCCAGGCCTAGGGACCCTACCTGTGTATGCATTTCTTGGGCCAGGCCTCAAGTAAATACGTAACTTGGAAGGAATGTTAATCTAAAAACTTCAAAGTAAAAAAATGTCAAGTTTAAAAATTCCAAGGTAATATCAAAGAAGAAAAAAATATCAATCAGAAATTAACATTGCAGTTCTAAATCTAAGTCAAACTCTTTCCATAGCATTCAAAGAAAAAGATAGGACATTTCCTCTTCAATGATGCTTGACAGTATTGAGTTTAGAGATAGTTCATTACTGCATATTAATTTCAATAAGGCTCTTCTCTTTACCTAAAGCTTGAATAACCCTAGATTAACAAGAATTTTTTTTTTTAGATGAGTCAAGGAAATAGGAAATAGAGACACTAACCAGACACTTTAAATAATCAAGAACTTTTAATAGTAGTAAAAATTCAACTAGATAACAGAAGGCACTATGTTATTGAAATGACTAATCAATTTAATTTTTGTGCTAGGTGTTTTACATGTGATTTGTTTTAGTCCCCGTAAGAATCTTGACAAATGTTATTGCCTCCAGGTTTGAGATAAATGTTCCATGTGTAGATCCTGAGGGGTCTTATTAGCATGGACTCCAAAACATATGGTGCCTCAGAATTGTGCAATAGAGCAGCCTGGAGATTAAAAACTTGCTCCAAAATCAATCTGACTTACATTAAGGCAACCATAACAAAAAAGGTCCTGAATAAAATTTCCCTTCTGCCCAGGTGTATCATTAAAGATACACTACTGGTCAAGCACAGCAACCTTCCCTTCTCAGCTTTCACAATAAAAATCTGGAATTCTAAATTAAGGTGATAGGCCACTTCTCATAAATATGCCCATAAATCTCATCAAAAGAATGAAAATATTTTCAAATATATAATCTCATAACAAGAAAAAGAGTCATAAGCTGATCAAAGATTTTAAGAAACTACTGTGAAGCATTTTGCATATGGAAGAGTACTATCACAAGAAACAGAAAGATGAAGCTACAACCTATAACATAGTCAAGAAGTTTGCCCAGCCCCACAGAGACTTCAGATTCAGACAAAATCGACCTCCGCTTAATTTTGGAACTTGTAGGATCTCAGTTAAGATCTGGCTGTCCACTCAATGATACAAAAACAGAGTATATTAATCAATAAGCCTGTCCATATGTGTAAAGTACCTAGACAGCTTTCCTTAATTTTTAAATAATGAACTGCCCAGGAATCACTAGATAGCTAAGGAAAAACTATAGAGCAAAAGGCAAAAAATAAAATAAGCCAAGAAAAAAAAAATCTGCTCTACAGGCAACCAAAATAACTTCTGTAAATAAAAATATCCAGCCCTAGCCAGTTTGGCTCAGTGGATAGAGCGTTAGCCTGTGGACTGAAGAGTCCTAGATTCAATTATGGTCAAGGGCATATGCCTGGGCTGCAGGCTCAATCCGCAGTGGGGTGCGTGCAGGAGGCAGCCGATCAATGATTCTCTCTCTCATCAATGATGTTTCTCTCTCTCCCTCTTCCTTTCTTTCTGAAATCAATGATATATATATATATATATATATATATATATATATACACACACACACACACACACACACATATATATATATATATATATATATATATATATATATATATATATATATATATTTTTTTTTTTTTAAACCCAAAACTCAACTCTAATATATTTAGGAAGATTTGAGAAGATATTACATCCCTTACAGAAAACAGGAGGTATGGAAAAACATATTTCACAAAAGAATAAAAAATAATTGCCAATATATATGAGAAGATAAATAACTCATTAATATTCAGGAAATTGTTCATTACAACCACATAAAATTTATATCTGTCAGATAGTAACAAGAAATCTGATAAAATATATATATATATATTTATAAAAGGCTAATATGCTAAGTGTCCAACCCTCTGACTGATTGCTATGACACACACTGACCACTGGGAGCAGACGCTCAATGCAGGAGCTGCTGTGATGTGTACTGACCATTTACAACGAAACAGCACCACGGACTTGGCGCCCACAAAGCAACACTAGTCTTCCCCCAAGTGGGACACAGGCTCCACCACCACCCCAGAGTGACACCCTACCAAACTGCAGCCAATGCTGCCAAGATCCTATGGAACAAAATGAGGCCCACAGCCCAGCCTTGCCCGGAAACTGTTGCTATGGACTTCAGGTAATAACGTCACATAGTAACACCCAGCTTCCTCTCCCTAGCAACTAGCCTCTTTGGAGTTTCTTCAGCTCAGGAACCCAAATTGCTTTATAGACAGGTGTAGACATTTTGCAGTTCAACCAAATGTTTGTGAAGTGTTTTCCTGGGCCTCATCTCATTTGATCCTCACAGAAGTCCTGGAGTAGGTAGATAGGAGACTCAATGGAATCCCATTTTCTTTTCATTAGTCAGAAAATAAAGATTTAGAAAGCTTAGAAACTTGACCCGACTGAAAAGAAGAAAGAAATGTTGGACCTTGAAAATAACTTCAAGTTTTCTCACTGAGCAGAATATAGTCAAACACTGTTGCAATTAAATATTTTACCCTTTATTCTCCTTGAGTGATCTACAATAATAATCTGCTTTGTGTTGATATTTACTGCTGTGTTGCTGAAAATTACCTGAAAGAGAAGTTGGGATGCTTCACCGGGTTGGAAAAAGTTTAGCTACATCAGAAAATGGGTCTAATTAAGCAAGATTATTCTATATATCAGTATATATAAAAGGCTAAGTTAACTTGCACATGTGTGATACACATAAAGCTCTCGCTGGTGTTAATCCCATGAGTATGTTTTAGTCTGTCATTGTTGATCTTCAATTTGGTTGACACTTCTATTATAGAGAAAGGGCGATTGACAATATTAAAATATTTCTTTTAATTTATTTTCAATGTGCAAGAATTCACGCACCAGGCCACTAGTACATATTAGGAGGATATGAAGAAACTGAATGAAAATTGGTAGAAAGACTATGGACCACAATTTAACAGTATTTAATATATATAAATTTCTTCTGATAATAAAAAGCACAAAAATAAATTGAGAAAACACGAGAAAGGATTAATTAAATGAGTGCTTGATGTGATTACCAAATAGATAAAAGCATACAAGAAGATAATAGACATGTGAAAAGAATTACTTTAATGGGTTTAAAAAAAAACAAAACAGAAAAACTAAGGAGAATAAAAATACAATACAATAGGGGAAAATCCCCTATAGATGAAGGAAAACATAAACCTTAAAATGAAAAAGTCTTATAATTTCAAGGAGGATAAAAGAAAAAAGATTCACATTCACACTGAGTTATTTATTCTAGCACCTTTCAATGCGTTCATTGCAAGGAGAATAAATTCACACCAAATATATCATAATAGGCCAGCTGGTGTGGTTCAGTGGTTGAGCATCGGCCTATGAACCAGAAGGTAATGATTCCATTTTCGGTCAGGATACATGCCTGGGCTGCAGGCTCGATCCCCAGTACAGGGTGTGCAGGAGGCAGCTGATCAATGATTTTCTCTCATCATTGATGTTTCTATTTCTCTCTACCTCACCCTTCTTCTCTAAAATCAATAAAAATATATTGAAGAAAAATATATATCATAAACTTTTTTCAAAACATCACACCTAACTAAAAGTTTTAATAATTTCTGAGAGCAAACAAATAATCCTAGCACCAACAAATTAAGATCAGACTGATATTTTTATCTTCTCATGAGCAACACTGGAGGTTAGAAGATGGTGAAGACTTGGAAGATTTGGTTTCTATACCCAGCAAAACTATCAACCATAACAGCAATATGATAATGTACAGCTACACAAATACTAATAAATAAAATTACCATCCATATACCTTTTATAAATAAATTTCTTTAGAGGAGAAAACCAAATAATAAAAGATGTTGAATTAAAAATCATAGCTACTTTCAAGAGTTCAATGAAAGTAACCCAGGAAAAAACCTGCACAAAAGGACTAGAATAGAATCTATTCAAATTAAACAGAAAGTGATTGGGATCCAAGGAAAACATCTTCAAGCACAGAAATGAAATGGTAGGTTCTCATACTAAGAATGAGAATACGTGGTCAAGAAAGTATAAGATGGAAGGACTAGGTGATGAAAGCATCTCTTCCTCAAAAGAAATCAGAAAGTCCTTTGTGAAAGTGTGGAGGGGTTAAAAACCATTTAAGAAGCACATGGTCCAAAACATAAAGCATAATTTTTTTTTGTCATTGTAGAGGAAGTGAAAAAGAATCAATTTGTTATTAACATGACAAATCTTCTGATAGCCTGTAAGTAAAGGTCCAGCTCAGAGAAGGTAGAAGCAGATTTGGTTTCTGAAATGGTAAAGAATAAACTAGAGTTGCTACTTTTCTTATTTTACCAAATAATGAGCCACAATATATTTTTGAAAATTTATGTGAAGAAAAAAATTGAGTTTACATTTACTTAGAACTAATCAGTATGAAAACTAAATATTGTAATAACTATTCACAAATTTGTAGATGAGATGTTTGCGGATGATGTGGACTATCTTAAGAAGTCAATTTAAAAAATAATTAATAGTTTACCTAAATATGCAACATTCAAATCTAAAATTAGGTGAGATTAAAAGTGGTTATTTCTGAAGAATAGGACTGAGGG